ATATATGATTAAGCTAGGTGTACACTTGCTCAGGCAGCAAAGGCCCCTGGGACACTTCATATGTTGATAAAATATGAGTATTTGTAGTCTTATAATGTTTTCAAATGTGTGCTTAAATTTCATGTAAATATCTTCTTAGGTTTCTTATATTTTATGTTTAATCTCAATACTGTATAATTCAACAGCAAAGTCAGCTATCTGTGCTACAGTCCCTTATTTAGTCATTGGATGTAATAACTACATGGAAATACAGAGTTTCTACAGAGGATTACAAGCAGTTAAAGTGTTTTAATGTTTCTGCACAGGAACGAGAGGATGACCAGCGAACTCTCGTCCAGATCTGTGAGTGTCTTCGTCTGCTCGGCAACGCCCTGGTGGCCCTGAGCGACCTGCGGCTGAACCTCCTGAGCCCGGTCCCACGCCACCTTCACGTGGTGCGTCCCTTCTCTCATTACGCCAGCCCCGTCACTCTTCCTGGAGCCGTGCACCACCACATCCCAGTCCAGGTAGGTGGTGTCTTGTTCGCTGGGCTCTCTCTGTCCTTGTGCGGGTGTCCTGACTGCGCTCTCCTGCTTGCCTGCAGATGAACCTGGGCCCCACGGTGATGACTGTTGCCTCCAACAGCACTGAGGGTCAAGCTCCGCCCACCCAGCCGGCCAGCCAGCTGGAGCAGGCAGGTCAGGGACAGACCTCCCCCTCACAGACTTCCCCGTCCAATCAGCAGGCTGGACAGGGGCAGGCGGGCCCCCGGGTCTTCAGGATCAGCCAACCGACGGTCCCGTTGGTCATAATGATGAACACGGACGGTGAGTTGTCCCCCACCCACCACTGATTGAAAACTCCTCTGTTTGTTGTTGCTCAGCAGCACTGTGCTGCAGGTCTGACACAGTGATGCTCTGCTGTGCACCAGCTGTGTGTTGCTGTGTGTTTACTTATGTTTTTGTTCAGGTTCAGGTTCAGGTCCAGGTCCAAACTCTGCAGCAGGTGGGCAGCAGATTCCAGGACAGCCAGGTAACAAGAAGCAGATAAATCAGATTTTAGAACCCGACAAATCTGATGTTGTTTCTGTTTTGATCCTGAAAATCTTAAATCATCTTCACCCCTCCCTCCTTTAGGCACCCACTCCCATGACTTAATTCGAAACATCATGCAGCAGGTCAGTCAGTATGCAGCTGCTGTCATCAACAGCTCCGCCGTCGCCTCCTCTGGCCAAACGGTCCCCCCTCAGCCCACTCCTCCTAGCTCCACACCCACCTCCTCAGCTACCACCACAGGTCCCAACACGCCCACCACCACCCCGACTGCTCCCCCTCCTCCCTCCCACACAGGCCCCCAACAGCCCCAGGACAGGCTGGTGTTCACCCGACACCCTTTTGGCAACAGCATGCCCCCTCCGGCCTTTGGGACCCGGGGAACCACCATCAACGTGAGGCAAGCCATGCCGGGCCTGCAGCCGGGCCAGGTGGGACTGATGCTCAATAACTGGTCTCAGGTTGATTCAGAATAACAACACTTAGTGTTAGCCTGCTAGCTGACTAGCCTGTTAACATGTTGGCCTGTTAGCTTCTTGTTGGCCTGTTAGATTGTTAGCCTGTTAGATTGTTAGCCTGTTTGCTTGCTAACTTGTTAGCCTGTTAGCTTGTTAACGTGTTGGCCTGTTAACATGTTGGCCTGTTAGCCTGTTAACATGTCAGATTGTTAGCCTGTTAGCTTGTTAACTTGTTAGCCTGTTAGCTTGTTAACTTGTTAGCCTGTTAGCTTGTTAACATGTTAGATTGTTAGCCTGTTAACATGTTGGCCTGTTAGATTGTTAGCCTGTTAGCTTGTTAGCCTGTTTGCTTGTTAACTTGTTAGCTTGTTAACGTGTTGGCCTGTTAACTTGTTGGCCTGTTAACTTGTTAACATGTTTAGGGCTGCAATGATTAATCGATTAATTGACGACTAATCGATTATTGAAATAATCGATGACTAATTTAATAATCAATTAATCTTTTTATTATTTTTTGTTCTTTACTTTGTTTTTCTCTCCAAACTGCTTTGACACGTTCCACTGCCACATCTGCCTTTCTGTCCTTGACACACATGTGCAGTAGTGGTAACTGGGGTAGGCCGTGGACGTCACAAGACATTATACAGACAGGCTTTGGTATCATGGCTACCC